ATCTGAGGAAGGGCCCCCCAGACCCCCCTTCGCGTGCTCGCAAGTTTGGGTTACGGTTAGACCCCCCCCCCCCTGGTCTCCTGTACACGCACCTGAGCTATATATACCTATTACCTATATATACATAGCTATATAAGGTGTTATATGTAGCTCCTTGCTCACGTGACGCCCGCATATCATCTAGAAATGTACACGCATCGTTTACGTGCCTTCATAAAATCTGCACGATGAGTCTGCTATTCCTCCGCCATATTGAATTTCGCTGCGAAATATTACGTGATTCAGTGTTTACGAGTAATTTCAACGCGTCCGCACTGCTGGATACTGCCAGACACGCCTTCGCAAAGGTAGGAAATCGCTAAAACATTTTCTTAAGATTACAAAGAAGTGATACAATTATCGTAAAACGTTGAAATACGACCAAACTAACCAAATTTTGTTTTAGCGAGTTCAATCGCAACCCTCGCATCGCAATCAGCTGTAAGGTCCTCACTGCATATACCAGTCAGTACACAAATTGGGTACGTTAGTGTGTTAGCGCATGTACAATATCTCACGAGAGAAGTTATATTTTGCGATGAATATGCATTTAATATGGTTAGGGGGTATCTCAGCATAGATTTCTCTAATAAATTGTTATCAGTAGACCTGTGTTTATAATTAGGAGCGCGCCCAAGCCTGTAGGGTACAAAACACCTATTTTATGCCCTCGCGTCCTTCCCCTTGCCTTCCCTGTCTCTCTCTCAGCCTCTCTCTTCTTCTACCGCCCCCAGCTATCTTTCCTGCCGCCTTTCCTCAGTCTCCCACCCCCTTTCTCCCTCAGCACGCTATATTATAAAGTTTTCTTCAGTCCGTATTGCACGCCTGAAACGGTGCGCGCGCATGCGCAATATCTCCCGAGAGGAAGAATATTTTGAAAAAATTATGCATTTAAAATGAAGAGGAGTTATCCTAGCATAGATTTATATGATAACATTCCATCAGAAGACTTCACTTAAGAAATGGGAGGAAGACCATGCATGTAAGCTCCCCGCTGCATATATACCAACCAGTACACAATCTGGTTACGTTAGTGTGTTGGCGCAGATCTGTATATATTGTATATATTGTTCTCAGGTTGTGGGCGAGCGGGGAGGATTTAAACTCGGTATTAATGTCATAACCTCCTCATAAATAATAGTCTTAAAAGGTACAAGTGACTATAACGAAGTCTATGTCAAGTGATGTGCATTTTGTAGACTTAATCAGCGTTTGAATTGATCATTTTCGCTGTTATGCTTCTAATAAATTCTTATCAGTAGACCTGTGTTTATAATAATATTTAGAGAGCGCCCTAGCCTGTAGAAATGGGAGGAAGACCTTGCATGTTAGCTCCCCGCTGCATATACCAACCAGTACATAATCTGGTTACGTTACTGTGTTAGCGCATGCGAAATATCTCACAAGAGAAGTTATATTTTGCGATGAATATGCATTTAATATGGTTATCTCAGCATAGATTTCTCTAATAAATTCCATCAGGAGGCTCCCCGCTGCACATACCAGTTAGTATTTTAATGATTACTAATGATGTATAAATTGAGAGCAGACACTCTTGGAAGTGGCGTGATATAATTTTCAATTCCGTTACCTCTCTTTAATGATTATTACCTCCGCCAGGGGCATGACGGGGGTTATGTTTTCACCGGCGAGTTTTTGAGTGTTGGTTTGTGTGTTTGTGTGTTACCATGCACGTTTCAGTTCACTTGCGCTAGGTGCGCTGGCTGTAGACTTACAAACACGCAACCACAGGCTAAGGGGCAACCACAGTTCTCCCCCACCTGCACGCTCGCACTAATCCGGATCCAATTAATTATTTAATTAATTAATTAATTAATAAAAAAATTTACATTGAGAGAATTCAGCTGCCTTGGCGGAGGTCTGTGCTCTCCGAGTGCTCTAGTTATTCATAGAATGTTTAACTTTCACTGACTGACAATAGTAACAACAACGACTTTTGAATCGGCCAATAGATGGCGATGTGTGTTCTTCAAGGCATGGCACGCAGCTCGGTATAAACAATATTTGCTTGAATTTACCGTTTTATTTCAAAGAGGCAATAATTTGACAAGAATTATCTCCGATATACGAATCGCTCGTTGTTGATTATCCATTCTTGACGAAATCCAAGGAAGATGCACGATTCGGTTACCCTGCAATGATGTACTCATGAGGGAAGGAGGGCGAGAGGGAGGGAGAGGTGCATCCCTTTTTAACGTGCGTGGTATGGCGGGTGACATATACAGGGGTGAACGGATTATCAACTAAAATAATATATCATTAATTTCGTTACCCAGTAATAACGAGGTGAGGGAGGGGGCGTAGCCCCAGTCAACGTGCATACTGTGGTGGGGAGGGTGCGTGTGGTGGGTGCTGGTGGGTGTGGTGGGGAGGGTGCAAGAGAGAAGGCAACACCCACTCTCCTCCTTCCTTCCTTTCACTCCCTTCCTCCTCCTACCTCCTCCTCCTACCTGACTTCCTCCTCCAGCGTGGCGACGCGGCGTCGCTGGCCGTGCACCGCATCATCCCGAGTGCGCAGCCTCTCGGCTAGGAAGCCACACGGCGGCTCCTCCTCCTGCAGGAGGAGGGTGGATGTTCGCGTCACGCGCTCGCTCAGCTCCCGCTCCCGCTCCTCCTTCCTCTCCGCCTCCCGTCGCAGCGACGCGTTCGCACGCTCCAGCTGCAGCACGCGTCGTGCGAGGTACACGCTGCAGGGCGAGAGTGAGGTGATGCTTTATTTATATATTATACTTATAACTTATTTATTAATTTCATTAATAATTATTTTAACAAATTATTTAAATTTATTAATTGTTATTTAAAGATTTATTTTAAATTTAAAAATTGCTTTCATTTTATTTTGATTGATATTTCATTATTGAATTACGATATTTAATCGTTAATTCAAACATTACAGCAGTGGCTACAGTACGCACGCCAAACGAATGAGATATTGCTCGCTCACATACGCGGCGACCCGCCCACGAGACAAGCGATTTACATGACAGGGCACTGACAATGCTAATTAGGATTCAACTCTAATTAATGTCTCTCTTAATCTCTGTTTAGTTCACACTAAACGCCACCTCTCTCCCCACCCCACCGTCGCTCTTTCGATATTAATTATTAATTTAATTGTTCGGTATTCCCGCTCGGTCGGTAATTTCGCCCACACAGATAGGTTAGTTGTCTCTGTGTCTCTGTCTGTGTATGCGTGTCGGTGTAAGAGAGAGAGAGAGAGAGATGGAGGTTGCCTACCTCTGCTGCATGCGGCGTTTCGCGGTGCTGGGAACGTTGGCTCCGTAGCCGTAAGCGAACATCACGCGCTCTGCCTCTCGCTCATCCTCCACTGTCACGGAGGGAGAGAGAAACATGTTAGTGGTGGGGGCGGGGGCGTTATGCCATGACTCACAACAGTACACGAGAGAGAGGGGGGAGAGATAGAGAAGGGGGCAATAGAGAAGGGAGAAAGAGAGAGAGAGAGAGAGAGAGAGAGGAAGAAAGAGAGGGAGGGAGAAAGAGAGAGAGAGAGAGAGAGAGAGAGGGGAAGAAAGAGGGAGGGAGAGAGAGATAGAGAAAGAGAAGGAGAGCGAGAGAGCGGGGGAGAGCCACATAATCTATGAAATTATATGATCAGGGAGGGGAGGTAAGGGTAGAGGGAGGAGGGAGGAATAGAAGGAGGAATGGGGGAGGGGAGGGAAGAGGGAAGAAAGAACAAGGACGGAGGAGGTAAGGAAGGATAGGAGGAAGGAAGGAAGGATAGGAGATGAAGGACGAGGAGAGGGAGGACAGGGAGAAAGAGGGGAGAAGTCTCTCACCCTCGTCCGCCTGCACGATAAAGTTATCGTAGTGCAGGAGGAAGGAAGGGAGAAGGAAGGAAGAAAGGATGGGGAAAGAAAGGGAGGGAGGAGGAGGGAAGAAGGAAGGAAGGAAGGATGGGGAAAGAAAGGAAGGGGGGATGAGGGGAGAAGGAGAGAGGATGTAGTCTCTCACCCTCGGCCGCCTGCACGATGACATCATCCAGTTCCCTCTCCAGCTTCTCGTATGCGTCTAGCTTCTCCCTCGCCTCGCACAGCTTCCCCTCCAGCTCGGTGACCTTCCCCTCCGCGCACACCTCCAGCCGGTGGTACTCCTCCTTCAGAACCTGTCGCAGAACGTCACACGTATTTATTAGCAAATTTTGCACAAGGGAGAGATAGTGATCCGTTAGGGGATGGCTCTGATTGGCTAATTTTGTCTCTTATTTATTTTTATTATTTTTGGCTAATTTTGTTTTATTTTAGAATTAGGGTTAGGGTTAGGGTTAGGGTTAGGGTTAGGGTTAGGGTTAGGGTTAACTGATTTCTATATCCACAACACACTAATAATGCGCCATCTAGCGGATCACTATCTCTCCCCTGAGACCTACTATTTATTAGCTCTTGGTATTATGCTTATGCAGGATCCACACCGCGCATGTGTGTGATACTATTACTGACCAACTACTACTACTGATTGATGAACACGGGGGTTTATGGATTGTTCTGCGTGCCTCCCCCTCCTCCTCCCTGTCTCCTCCCCTCTACGACCTCTTTCCCTTCCCTGTCCCCCTTCCCCTGTGCCATCTCCCTGTCCCTCCTGCCACCTTCTCCCCGTCCCTGTCTCCCTTTCTCCCTTCCCTCCCTCCTTCTCTTCCCCTGCCTCCTCCTCCTCCCTGTCTCCCCCTCTCCCTTTCCCCCATCTCACCTCTGTTTTCTTGAGCAGCTTGTCGTGGTCTATGCGGGAGGCACTGAGGTCCCTCACCGTCTCATCATGAACCAGCTGCGTTCCCTCCCTCCTCCTCCTCCTCCTCTTCCCCTGCCCCTCCCTCCTCCCTGTCTCCCCCTCTCCCTCTCCCCCCTCTCACCTCTGTTTTCTTGAGCAGCTTGTCGTGGTCTATGCGGGAGGCACTGAGGTCCCTCACCGTCTCATCGTGAACCAGCTGCGTTCCCTCCCTCCTCCTCCTCCTCTTCCCCTGCCTCTCCCTCCTCCCTGTCTCCCCCTCTCCCTCTCCCCAATCTCACCTCTGTTTTCTTGAGCAGCTTTTCGTGGTCTATGCGGGAGGCACTGAGGTCCCTCACCGTCTCATCATGAACCAGCTGCGTTCTCTCCAGGTCGTAAGTCTTCATCCTCAGCTCCTGCTGCAGCTGCGACGCCCGCACATCGCCCTGCACCTGCGCCTGCCTGTGCCTGCGCGTGAGAGGAGATGCAGCATGAGAGAAAGAGAGAGAGAGAGAAAGAGAAAGAGAGAGAGAGAGATAACATGTGTGTGAGAGAGAGAGAGAGAGAGAGATAACATGTGTGAGAGAGGAGAGGAGTATAACAGCTGCCTGTGTGAGAGAAGAGTAGAGAGAGAGGATGAGATAACATGTGTGTGAGAGCAGAGAGAGAGAAAGAGAGAGAGGAGAGGAGAGACATAGAGAGCAGAGAGAGAGCAGAGAGAGAGAGGAGAGAGACATAAGAGAAAGAGAGAGAGAGAGAGGAGAGAGGAGAGAGAGACAAAGAGAGGAGAGAGAGAGAGAGAGAGAGAGAGAGCAGAGAGAGAGAGAGACAAAGAGAGAGAGCAGAGAGAGAGAGAGAGAGAGAGAGAGTAGAGAGAGAGAGAGAGAGAGAGAAGAGAGATGAGAGAGAGAGAGAGAAGTAGAGAGAGAGAGAGAGAGAGAGATGAGGAGAGAGGAGAGAGAGAGAGGAGAGAAGAGGAGAGAGAGAGAGAGAGAGAGGAGAGAGAGAGACGAGAGAGATAACATGTGTCGAGAGAGAGGAGAAGAGAGATAACATTGTGTGTGTGTGTGAGAGAGGAGAAAGAGAGAGGCAGAGAAAGATAAAGAGAGAGATGAGAGAGAAAAAGAATGAGAGAGAGGGGGCGGGGGGGGGGGGGGGGGGTGGGCTGGGGGGGGGGGGAGGGGGCGGGGGGGGGGGGGGGCGGGGGTGAGAGATTAAAGAGAGAGAGAGAGAGAATTTTAAGAAAATGAGACGAGAGAGAGAGTAGATAAGAGAGAGAGAGAGAGAGAGAGAGAGAGAGAGAGAAGAAAATGAGAGAAGAGGAGAAGAGATAAGAGAGAGAGGAGAGCACAAGCAGATGAGAAAGGAACCCGAGAGTGTGCTCTGCGTGGCACGCCACGGCGAGAGAGAGAGAGCGAGAGAGAGATGGAGAGCGACGAGAGAAGACGCTGAGAGAGAAGAGAGAGAGAATATGCCGCGTTCTCATGCAGTCGGGTTAGGGAACAACGAGTAATTAACACATTAATAATTCATCGCGTTGGTAGACTAATATATATAACAGCGGTACATGACTAGCCTGTATCCCCCCTCGCTTCCTGGGTTGATGTTTGGGTGACGAGAGGGATACAGGCTTAGCTGGGTTTACCTATCGATTTTTTTAGTCAGCAAATCGTACCACTTTTCAAGTGCAACCCAATCACCGGTCCACACAATGCGGCTTGAAATTCGATTTTGTGTTGGTGTCGCGAGTCTCGCGAGACAATGTCGACGAGTTGGCGCAAATAGGACACGTGTTCTATTTTGCTCGATTCGGATTCGCGTGAATCCCGGCCGAGTTGGGAATAAATCTAATTGGTTTAAAACTTTCACGTTGATTACCTAGTCAAATGGCGTGCGCCAACGAACACGGACAAAACCATGGCATTTATAGATTTATTGAGAAAAAACGAATGTTCTGTGGCGGCGTTTGATTCGCGGCGTAGTAGAGTAGAAGTAGTAGAGTACAGAATCGTGATAAGAAGAGGTAGCGTGTTGCAGAAGATAGCTTCGTGAGCTGGATTAGAGGCGCGTAAGTTAAGTTAGCGTTAAGAAATAATCGCGTACGATTTCGCCTGACAAAAATCGATTTGTGTAAACAAC